TTAAAATATAATTAATAATATATATTTTATAAAATTATTAATATTTTATATATATAAAAATAAAATAAAACTGGAACGGGCCGTTCTGGTGCATTTTGGGTGTGTTAATTTTGCACTTGGAACGGGCCGTTCCGGATGTAAAATTAACACACCAAAAGTGCACCCAGAACGTCCCGTTCCGGTTTCAGAATGAGACGTTCTGGATCCAGGTGTTTTCAAAAAAATTCTCATCCACGTGGATGCCACGTATGCATCTACGTGGCGTCCACGTAGCCAAAAGTTAACACCATTAAAGCAATTTAGACGGAAAGTCCCACATTGAAACCAATTAATTAATTTAGAACTAAATTGAAACTAATTAATTAATTTAAGACCAAATTGAGACAAAAAATTAATAAGGAACTAAATTAAAACAAAAAAAGATTATAAGAGACCAAAATAGGGTTTTAACCTAAAAAAAAAAAAGAAAATGTTCAGTTGACGAATAAAGTTACTGAGATTAGAAGAAGAAAAAAAAAAAGGTGCAATTAAGAAAGTTTTTGTGCGGGGAAAGCTTGGAGCAGTGGTTCTCATGGCGGTTCCACCATCGGAGACCGAATCCAGCGAGAAGATAACATTCCTTTCACTTTCGCATTATTACTCTCACTACCTCCGCAATCGAATCCATGCTCTCTATCCCTTCTTCTCCAACTTCGCTTCTCGCTTCCGATCAACCCACCGCCGCGAATGCTTCCCTCTTCCGTTACCCTCCTTTTCTCTCGACTCTTCCACGTACCTTCGTTTTCCTTTTCGCTTCCACTAAATTGACCATTAATTACTAAACTCCTTCCTGTTTAAATGTCGTTTATCATTTGATTCCAGTTTCGACCATTGTTTTTTAATAAATGAATCAATATTAGGGTTTTCGATGTTGCGTTCCCTTGCAGGCTCGTCACCAAGGGATCTAGAGTGCATTTTGTTTTGGAGGACATAATAGGGCGTGCTCTGGTAAATTTGCATAGCATCCAAAAGAATCTGCAGTTCTGGCAGTGTAGAGCTAAGGTTCTGTTAATGCTTTTCTTGTTATGTGTGTGTTTATAGTTTACGTTATTGCAAATAGTTTTAGTTATACTGCTTGTTTGTTTATGGGTTCAGAGGTCTGATTCTACGAAGGCACGTTTCATGATTTTTGAGAGGGGTCCAAGGGCTTTTATCGATGAAACGGTTAAGTTGTTGCGTGGACGCACTGCTCAAGGTTCCTCCGTAAAAAATCTGTGCCAGTCTGCATCGGATTATATCGATGAGAGAGTAGCTGTTTTGAGTAGCTTAAGATATTCGCTCGCCACATTTTTGGCTCAGGTTTGCTTTGTCTGATTCATTGTTTCCTTGTTTTGAATCGCATTAGTCATTTATAATTGGAATGAATATAATTTGCTTTCTTGGTTGTGTCTTGCTGTCAAGCTTACTTAGTAAGTAATTATTAATCCTTTGGTATTGTATGATTCTGTCACTTGGTGTTATTATTATTAATCTTTGTATTTGTAGAAGAGAATATTTGGAATGACAGAATCATTATGAAGCTGGTGTTGTTTCTTATATGTTTTTGTAGTGGCTGCAACTTCTAATGCAATTGGCCTAATTTTGTTTTTTGGGTTGTGTGACACCGTTATTGATGTCTCCGGGGGAATTTCTTTGATGGGCCTTCAGAGGGATTATGAGGATAGATTTGAAGGATAGTTTCAGTCGGCATGGTTTTAAGCAAAATTGTTTACCTGTAGATGTGGGATTCAAGTTCTTCTGGCATATCACGTGATTCTGGAAATGTAGACTAATATTTATGGTGAACTGATGCAATGTTCACTTATGAACTCACATGTAAAAATAGAAAATAAAAAATATGGAAGAATTTCTCATCAACTTTGTTAAATGCCAATGTGCCATCAAAATTCTGATATTACTTCAACTTTGAAACTTCATGATCAGGTTTATACGGAAGTTGATAAAATTGGAGAAGAGTTAGTGGCAAATCCAGAGAGTAAGCTGCCCTCGTTGTTGGCTACAATTAACGATTTGTTTTCAACATTAGAAGCTTCAATTGGACATCTACATACAATGCGTCAGGTTTATATAAATAATGTTGTTTGTTTTTTCCTTTTACCCCTCTGTTTTCCTTTATGTATATCACTCTTAACTGTTATCTCTATGAGCCATGATTGTTCAAACCAAAACTGGAGTAAGTTTGCAACTAAACTAGAATTGATCTTTTCTACTTATTCAGAGTGATTCTTCTGTTGATGGGAGCTATTCAGTCCCTTTGCTGTTTGAAAAGATGCCAGAAATAAATGAGGAGGGGTCCCAGTGGACAGACTGTGAAATGAGAGATGCCATTAATTCTGTTTATCAAAATTTAGACAAGCTGGACTCATACATATCTTTTCTTGTAAGAGCTTCTATCTTATGTTATCTCATTAATTTTGTAGAATGGGGCTTTCTAATTTTATACCTATGTGCATAAGGAAAATTTATTTCATGGCAGAGTTCTTGTGGTAACTGTAACCTTAGTCTTTTAGAGTCTTTCATTTATGTATCTCAGTGAGCTCTCCTCCAGTATCTTAATTAGGATGGCCTTTTAGAGTTGAATATGTGAATAATACATTTCAAGAAATACCATTTCCGGTGGCATAAATTACTTGTAACTTTCACTATTGTGGAAATTGAGAAATAATGAAAACCGATCTGAATCCAATCTTCATAATTTAACCGTTCAGCTTTTAGAGGTTCACTCTATTAGTGTTAGCAATTTTATAATTTCTGTAAATTTTTGGTGAGCAGCAGTGTAGCATTGCTTATGTTATGTGCCATATCGTTCAGCATTAGTGAACCGATCACCCTTTTTTTTTTTTGAACTTCTTAAAACTTACTAAAAAAATGTTACATAGAAATTATTTTCTTTTTACTATTTTTGAATTTCTATACTCCTATTAGTTAAGTCTCCCTTCAAAGATTTTTTTTTTCTGTTTAGAATTTTAAAAATGTAATGATAGTTTTTTTTTCACATACTGAAATTATTTTACATTAAAAGACTTTTTTTATTTTTATTTTATTTTTATTTTACCACATATACTGGATTTAGTCATTTATGGAGGCTCTGAAATTTAAGAATTACTCAACTTGTTTTGATAATACAGAGAAGTTTCTAGTTGTCAGTTGGCTTATGTTGATTGGTTTGCTCTGTAGCTTCAATAAAGTTTTAAATTGTACTTTTATGGTTGTGATATTTCAGGTCATCAAACATAGAAAACCAAGAAAAATAACCCAATATTGGATCCGCTATGCATGTGGTGCTGTTGGTCTGTCAGTATGCTCCATTTGGCTCTTGCGGCATAGTAGTTTGATGGGAAGCTCTGATCTTGATAATTGGATTCAGGAAGCTAAGAACTCGACAATAGGCTTTTTTGAGAATCACGTAGAGCAACCGGTACATTTCTTCTTAGTAATTTACCAGGGTTTTGTTTGTCTTTCATTTTTTCCCTCTTCAATAAAGGGGACACGAACTAACCATTTCCTAATGAGATAGTTGTGATCAGCATTATTCAATTTTCTTAACCTCATTTTGCCCTTAATTCTCAATCTATTGATAATTACTATTAACTATGTGACCTTCCTAAGATTTTGTTTTTTCATAAGCAATGGAGAAATTTTTGTTTCTTCTATCTTATTCCTCTTCATTCCTATCTTTAAACCAGTAATTGAGGTTTACAAATTGATATAGGATTGAAGCATAATATAATGTTTAATATTGTCTAGTAGTTGATCTAAAGCGCACTTTGTAGAAATGGTAGGATAGGAATCCACCAGAAATAAGGGAAGTTCTTAATATTATAAAGCTAGGAAGAGTGTTTCTTGTTTTTAAATTGAGAAAGCTGAGCCCTAGAATTATTTATTCAAATTTAATATCTCACTAGTACACATTGTACTTTGATTGCATTAAATCTACTGGTTGAAACCAAATAAAATAATTTAAAGTAATCCCTACAAAAGTTTTATAATAATCATAAAATTCCTATAGATTTGAGTCCTCTTGTTCATCACTGTGTCCCATGTCATAATTTGTGTATATATTCTGATGCAATCAATTTTCAGATTTTGTCCATTAGGGACGAACTTTTTGACACTTTCAGAAAGAGACATCAAGGTATTATGGACCATGAAGAAGTGAAGTTAACAGCTGACTCACTACACAGGTTACTGGTTTCTAAATGCGTTGCCCTCCCTTTTATTTTTCAAAACTTGTATAGAACCTCAATGTTCAGAATGTTTATTTTTAACATAACTTTTAGCAGTTTTGCAATGTATGTTGTTACTTAGACACCTTAATAAATTTGTTACTATGGTCCTCTTTTTATTATAAATTGTTGAGTTTTTCCCGTCAACGTAAAAACTTTCAATCCTTTAGGGCAATTTTTTTAAAAGAAAATGACATCATTTCATTTTTTTTTAAAAAATGAGTTATCAAATAAAGTGATAAATGAAGACTAATATTGAATCTTTTGAAGATTATGAAGCACCCTGCCTTTCAAAAACCCACTATACAATTAATATTTAATAGTTATTAGATAGTATAGAATAGTGTGCATAAGTTTCTTGCAGATCGTGGAAGTTTGCTTCTGAATATGTAATTATGCACATGCATGGTCTTATTCATTCATAAATCATAATAGAATATGCATGCGTGCAAGTTGATGAAGTGTGTTGAGTGTGATACTTGTGAAGGAATGTTTAAAGGATTATGACCGGGTTCTTCGGTGAAACTTTTGGTATCAAGAAAATTATAATTTGTGTCTAGTCTCTATTGTGGCTTGGATTGAAGACAATTCTACACGTACAAGATTTAATTTGAAAAGAAATAGGAAAAAAAATCAACTAATGAAAGGTTTGCAGTCAATACAGGATGCTACGTTTTCCCGATGATTCATTGTATATCAGTTACCTACTATGGTCATTTTAGAATGTACTCTATCATCCTTTAATACCATGGCAGAAATATAATTCAGTATTTGTTACAAGCTAAATCCTGGTCTGAAGGATTTGAATTTGTTAGCAATGAGATAAAATATGTCCAGCACAGCAGTAACTAAATATTAGTGATAACTAGCCTTTGTAGTTGTACCATCAATTATTTCATTTTTTTTACTACCTAGAATTGCATTTGCTCATATTCATGGATATTGAAAGCCATGCTAGTTGCATGGATAATTGGATACTGCTGTCTTTGTAAAAAAATTTTAAATTTCTGTACAGAATGTTGCTGGCTTTCAGTGAGCAGGCAAAGGGTCAAAAGTTCCCAGTGAATGCTTCAGATCAGGAAATGCTTGAGATAGTCATGTATAGGTGAGATGTGATATTTTGCTTTAGAACTATCTCTAATTATGCTGGTATGATGGTAGTAAGGTAACTGTGGTTTGTGGTATTGAATTTGAAATTGAAAAATGGTCTTGCCTGTTGAGTGATTCTTCATGACATTATACTACAGGGTTCATTATATGTTGGTAATAACTTGGTTGTTTTCTGGAATTAGTACTAAATAAGTCTCCATGCCAATGACTTTCTGGGATGTCATTGGCATATGCAATTTCTACCTATTCTACTCACTTTGAGGTTTTTTTATGAAAATACGTTGGTTTTTAAAGAAAGCCACTGTTTTGTTGGTAGACATTAAATGATTGTGCTGCTGTATATTTTCACTAAGGTGTTTCTTGCCTGGGGTTTTTGGGTTAACTATCCCAGTTTAACTGGCAGTGTCTTTTGTGGTAGGAAATAGGTGAGCTTTTATAGGCAAAATAATTGAGGTAATGGGTTCTTCATTTTTAAAGTTGTCTTCCTGATTTTAGATTAGATGTCTTAGAACAATCTAAATTCCGTGCCTGGATTTTCATATAATTTTTTTTTCAATTTACATTGATTGACAATTTTAAAAATTGGAATTTGATGGAAAAAAAAAAAGAACAATAACATGCAGAAAGTGATTTTTATATATACTAGTCCTCTGCTCCTCTATATTATATAATAGCAAGAAAGAAATATTGAATTTAGAATTCTTATTAGTAAAATTCATAGTATCACTTCATTTCTTGTAATATTAATGTTTATCATAAGTGTTATGATCTAATTTTTTCAAGTATAAATGCAGATATGAGAAGGAACTCATGCATCCTATTCAAAACATTCTCAATGGAGAGCTGGTCCGAGCTATACTTATTCAGGTAATGTAATACATGTTATATGTAACATCTGTTTAAGTGGTTCTAACATGACTTTTTCACTGTTTCAGGTTCAGAAGCTCAAGCTAGATACTGAGACGTGAGTTTTTTAATCTGAAAACATAATTGAATATTTCACACATTGTTTTAATTCCTCAAGATAATATTTTTGTCAGGGCAATGCTAGAGCTGGACCAGATCCTTCGGGCAAATGAAATCAACTTTGCGGTTCTGACTGCTTTACCTGCATTCTTTCTCTCTCTCTTACTCATCATGTTAGTACGTGCATGGTTCAAACAGGTAATTTCCCCTGTTTGGTTTGCACAAAATGATGAGTTTAAAGCAGATAGGACATAGGAGTCCAAATATCCTACTATAGTTCTTATACCAACTCTAACCACTACTGTTATACATGACTATTGGAGTACTAAAACTTTAATTCTTGTGGCAACTCTATCTTGAGGCTCATTAATTTTAGACCCATATGGTCAGATTTGTAAACTTGTATATGTACTATCTTTATATTCTCTCTTAAAGAAAAATTCCGTTATGCACTATTTAATTGACCAAAAAATCTTCATGTAAATTAGGATACCAAAGCTGAGGGAAGAGGTAGAGTTGCTAGGATTCAGAGGAGGCTTCTTGTTGTAGAGGTTAAGAAAAGGATTATGCGGTACCAAATTTATGTTGATCAAGGCTTGGTAAGTACCTTCCCTGACTTGATTTTATTTGGCGGTTCCCAAAATGAAGTTTCAACTTTCTTTCCCTCCCTTTCTAAACACATGTGGGACACCTAGTCAGAGTATTTCAGATCCATTTTAGCCAAACGCATTTTGTTTTGAAAATTGTATCTAAAAACCAAAACCCCACAATCACCCCAAACAAGCCCTTGGTTAATTTGAATTAGATGGATAAAGCAAGGATAAAAAGGTCCCGTTACATGTTGTCTACAGGAGAGAGATGCAAAATATATGTTTGGATTGGTACTCTACAGCTTGGATCGCCTATATCATTCTGTCAAGTGGCACGCTGAAGCTTCCGGAGAGTGGGAATGGTTAGTTGCTCTCTTCTCTCTTAGCTATAACTCTCTAGGCCATTGCTGACAAATTTATATTTATATCCTCTTACTGCTTAAATACATAAAAAGAGCATAAATTTTATTATGAATGTTGAGATTGCTGAGTGGTATTATGAACAGTTTGCGTCAGGATATAATAGATTTGGCTAACCCTGGACTGCAAACTGCAAACAAGCTTTCTGTGATATCACACATGGTTGCATTTGACTGCTTGCTTCCAAGTCAAAACCGCCGGTAGCATATTGTAGTTTACTGTTTTTTCTTAATTTTTTAACGATCTTTTTCTTGCTACTTCAAAATCCAATTTTGTTGTGGATGTATGCATGTATTCCTCATACACGGTGACATTTTATCACCACAGTATGACAACATTTTTTTGACAATTTTATCGATTGAATACAAATCATATTATGGAGGATGATATATTTTCATTTGGTCGTGAAAATATGCACACTAGCGGAAGTCTCTGTTCATTTGCATGCAGTGATAACGTTTTTAATCATTTCCATGTGCATGCCCGTATTTGCCAAACAAGATTAAAACAATTGAAAAATAAAAATTAAATGTTTTCTATTTACAATCGAGATCATACATTACTCAGCAATTCACGTTGTAACTGCATTAGTTTCAAATAGCACCAGATAAAAAAAGGTTTCAAATAGTATGTACTACTTCTTTATCACAAGAAATGAAACAGAAATTGAATGGAATTGTTATTAAGTGTCCATACACCTACTCGCACATATCAATAACAATATAAAATGATTTTTATTTTGCAAATGATTGTGACAAAAGAGGCCAGAACTAGCCCGAATGACTACTGCCATGAATAAAGACTTTACAGGCTTAACAATGGGTCGAATCCACTAGATGATCCAAGAAGTTGTAGACAAGCTTTGCCAACAACATGAATACTTTTCAAACATGCTGAAAGATAAAGGGAAGTATGTCAAAGCTTGTAGAAAACCCTTCTTGGAAATCAAATATAAAGACAAGGACAAATGCCACTGTCCCAAGAACAAATTCAAATGCAAGAAGTTCAAATCTCACTTCAAGAAGAAGAAGTATAAAAAACCTTTAAGAAGAAGGAGACTCGTGGGAAAAATCCAGGTCAAAGATGTTACATTTGTGGCAAGAAAGGACATTTTGCTAAGTCCTGCCCAAACAAAGCTCAAAAGGCCACAAAGATGATTACGACTTTACATCTAAATGACCAAGATGAAGTAGAGTCTCTTTACTCAGAACAAAGTTCTGCAGATAAAGATACTGCATTTGTCCTGCAAGATTCTTTCTCAGATGACTCCTTGCCAGTTTTCCGAGAGACTTGATGGCTGGTTGGATTATAAACTTAAGTCCTTGGTTCGAAACTAGCAAGGAGTCATCTGAGAAAGAATCTTACATGGATGAATGCAAGCAATATATGAAAATATTTTATTGAAAATATTGCTTTAATTTTTATTGAAAATATTGCTTTAATTTTTATTGAAAATATTTTTGTAAAGAATCTTGATTATGAATGGAATATTAATGATTTTGCAACAAAAAATATATGAAGGACAATACTCAAATAATTATGAGAACACTATTTTTTCGAATTGCATGGGCACCAAAAGTCGTATGGCTGGGCTTGATTTAATGTCTGTATATACTATGTGTATTTTTTTCTTCTTTTTATGGACATGATTAAATAGTGTTCAAAAATTGATTTACTCATAAAAAAAGATGCATAATTAAGAAATGACAACTCTTTGCAACTTGGCAGTTAACGATAACCATCCCTTTGGAATCATTCAACAAATGAACAAAACAAGTTATCTTTGAATAGAGTTCATGCATTCTCTCGGTGAAGAAGTCAATTTGAAATTGGAATCCCTTTCTATCGGTATGATAATCTTTCAACACAATTCAAACCGTGAATGATAAATACAAAAAAAGTGTTTGCATTTTTTTAGTTATGTTATATTAGTGGTGTAAAGTGTTTACTCACTTTATTGTTTGATAATTAACTTTTATTAGAAAATTTGATTAGTGACAATCTATGATTAGTTGTTGGTAATAAACTATTAATCACTAGTGTTGGAATTAAAAAGAACAAACCACTTTCCCAAAGAAAAAAAGAAGAACGAACCATTGCCAAAAGAATATGGTATATGAACCACGACTTCGAATATAAAATTCTCAAGAACACAAAATACTCACGAAATCTCCTTAAAAAATAAAAAATAAAAAATAAAATAAAAAATTGCATTTATTACAAAGATCTTGGCACTTTCTCCTCCTCCTCCTCCACTAGAGTGTTGAAGTTGATTACGACACTGAATGGAGATGGAAGCATCTGATGAAAAGGGAAAAAGTATTATTATAAAAAAAATAAAAAAAATAAAAAATAGATTAAAGGAAGGTGCAAAAGTAGAAATAGTATTTGTGGTTGATATTATAAGGAAGAGCAACATTGATGTGATGTAGCAATAATTAAATTAAATCATAGGCAAGGTCGTGTTGTCGCACGCACAAACTTCAAATTCGTTACTAATAAACGATGTTCATGTTCTATTGATTCCTCAGACTCAAACCCGTGTTCGTGTTCGTGTTCGTGTTTGTGTTTGTGATCACGTGATTATATCGAATTGTTGATTATTGTTTACAAACATTTATTCAAATCATGGCCTCGTTATGCCGGCGGTTATCCATCGCCGGCGCCGCCCCCTCGGGCGGGCGCGGTC